GCCTTCTACGAAGTTAGATAAGAGATCTGGATCTATAATATGGGGTTGCACGGTATGATGTGTTGAGAAAGTAATCGATTGAACTCATTAAGTTTTAATTTATGACCATTATCGGGTATGATTAAGTGTACTTTTGTCCATATATCTGGCTTGGGAAACTAATCCCCAATTAATAATTAAATCTATAACTATCTGTTTAAATACTTTGGTTAGCAGTTGACATTAGGGTTGATAACAAATATGAGTTACTTTTAAAAAATGACACAGATACAAATATTATTTCTTTCTTAGATGTTCAAAAAATTAAAGAAGGTGTTGAAAATAGTCTTATTTTCGGATTATAGTTAAAACACAAAAGTATAAATAAAAAGAAAATTTTGTATAGAGAATATTTTCTATAGCAAAAAACTCGCCTTAAAAAGGCTGTACACCGCAATCTATAAATTCTTATATATGTGCAATACCTATTTATAACATCAACGATAATATTCTCCTATTAAAATAATTAATTTTTAAGACTAGGGACTGTAATTTATAAATTCAAATATATGTAAATACAATTTTCACTCCACTTTGTAATAGTTACAAAAATAGCATCGAGAAAACTCCTAGTTAAAAATGCTAAACGCTAGTGAAAATTTATGCAAAAGATTACAAGCCAAACAATTTTAGTCGCGTTCTGAAAAGTCATTAGGGTAACCTACTGCCACCAACACCCTCCCGTTCTCCTATCCACTCGTCTCTGGTGCGTGTCCTTTTGCGTCATTTATTTAAATTGCCGCATTTCCAGGACTAATGTGCATATGCCAAGGGGAAAACAAATGAAAAACCCACCCCTGCTCCTACCTCCGCTCCCTCCGCCCCTCGCCTTGATATTCATTTGGAAAATGAGAAAACGAAATAACAAATACTTACCCCCACTCCAAAGGGCCGAAAAAAATCCATAAGTTAAATTATTAAAGTTTGTAGCCGTTGTGTTGACCCAAGGTCTGGGGGTTTTTTTTTTTTGACACATTCCAAGGACTCGGCAAGCGGTCAATGAAACGAAGTCCCATAAAAGCACAAATATTCAGGCAGCCGTCTCAAATATAAATTACCCTCGATCTTAAAGTTCTTCTGACTTTAAACCGTATACTCACAATAATCCAAAAACCCTTTGAAATATTCTCTTTATACAGAAATATAGTTCCAACTTTTAAATTAAAATCATATCTATATGTTAGTTGGAATTTACTTTTTAATTATATTACAATGTAATAAAATGTTTAATTGTTATAAAAAATATGAAATATGTTATAAAAATGAATAGAGAAAAATGTTTTGTTTTAATATTAATGATGATTTGGATGTGATGAAATCAACATACTTTTGGACTTCCTACGCAAGGGGTATTGAAAATGGAAAGCGTTTCCAAAGCATATGGTGACAACAAAAATTGTTGTTTGCGCCTGGCGCCGCCTAAACAATTTAATTGAGAGTTGAAATTACTCGTAAATATGTATGGCTACCCACATTCACATGGGGAATAAGTGGGTGTAGTTCTGAGGTCGGCCTTTAATGGTGTTCAATGAGTATTTCAGGCCTGTAATTTGTTGGCCTGCGTGTGAAGCTCTGTCAAATCGATTAAAAACTAATTTCCACACACAATCCATTCAAACAAGGACGAAAACTATAATTATATTCTGTAATTTTTTGAGCTAATGCTGTCGTTGATGGACTTAAAAAAGAAGTGATAGTTGTCACATGTGCATCTACATAATGATGTTTTTAATGTGATACAAACGTTAGAATTAAATTAGAGGGTAGAGTGTCTAAACATGTTCTTTAATTATTTTACGAATTATTTCAACTACTGCTTTAATCTTACTGGTCTAAACTCATAAACAAAAGTTTTAATATAGCTTGTTAGCTACCAGCTTATCTTCTTATATGTACATGTATATAAGTAAGTAACTTTTGAGTAAGAATGAAAAAAAGTCCATGTCAACTGTACCCAAAAACTTTTCCAGCTTATATAGTACCAAACACTTATAGTACTCACCCGTGCTTATGTTTTCACCGAAAAACTATGTGGAAAACATTCTTCCCTCTGCCGCTGCCAAATTATGAACAAGTTTCTTTCCTCGCCTTTTTGGCAACAGGAAGTTTAGGACAGGGGACGACAGCACAAGGGAACTATGGAACTACGGAGCTGTCAGGAACACGCGCCAGACGCACATCTCCAGCCCCAGATCGGAATTGATTTCGTCGCATTCCTTTCAAAAATTATTGATAAGACATTTCCACAGGCATTGTGTTTGGCCATTACAGTTACAGTTACACTCGCTTTTGCGAGCGAGTGTCCCATGTAATACAAATATTGACATACTTTGATTTCGCAATCCTCGAACTGCTTGGGGTAGCAACAAGCGTAAGGAAGGACCTTCTCCGGTTTTCCTGGGGTGGAGGATTTAGGTCCCTTCGTTTGCACATGGAAAAATTATTCCTGACAAATGTCCCTGTCCCAATAAAAAATATTATTGAGTTTAGCTTACGACATTTTAAGGTTTTGTAGGTAATTAGATTACATTCAGACTATTAAAGTTTTATTTGTTGGAATAACGCAATCAAAACTCCTGGAAATTAACTTTAATTTAATTAAATATTATTATTTTCGTTAATAAAATCTCTTTTTTTTGTGACAAAATCAACCAAATTGGAAAACATATAAAACTTTTTTCAATCTTGCTTACAATGTCAGATCTGGAAACAAAATAAATACATATTTCAGTAGTCGGTCCCTTGTTTTTCCAAGTGCATTCCGTTCATCCCTGCCTCCTTTGGAAATATTGAAAAGCTGAAAGCAAATGTCAAAACTCGGAAAAGTTGAAATTTTTGCCATGTTTGTGGGGTTGTGGGATGGACTGGGCCGGATTTCCGTCTCGAGGGCCGCAGAATCAGCTTAGACAAGTCCCTCGCTGACTTTGAATGGGAATCACAGGGCGACCTAAGCACTTTTTGAGCTCGAGATGATGACACTTGTAGCCGAGTGCGTTTTTGCTTCGGGGAAGTCGAACTAAAGGTAAAATATTTGCGAGCCGCCCCAGCACCCCAAATCACACAGTTTTTAATTTATTTATATGTATTTGTATATATATTTAATATAATCAATTTTAAACACATACAATTTTTGATAAATGCTCACTTACAATGAAATGAAAAATGTTGGTTTTCCACCGTTTTTGATTCTTTGCTCTTTCACATTTTACATATAATATAAATTATTTTGTCCAAGTTGTTTCTTGGTTTCTTTTGATTTTTTCTCACACATAGTTTTACATAATAACAAAGTAAAATTTTTTAAGTATATGTAATATATATATATATCGATATATAAATGTATATATCTCATTCATTTGCCAATTGCTAAATAAATATTATTTTGTTGGGTTTTTTGTTTTATATTAAATTTAAATTTAATTTTGTTTTGATTTTTTGCTCGTGGCTTTTGATTTTGCGCTCTCACGTCTTTTGTGTTGCTTTTCTCTTCATAATTCTTCTCTTGTTCCAACTTCAACATCAATTAAATTAATAATTTGTTAATGCATTTTGTTGCTTTGACTTAAGCCTAAAACTAAAATATTTATTAAGAGTTTAATCTTTTCATTTTTGTTTTTTTTTGTTTGCTTAGCGCTAGTAAAATTGTATCTTTGATTTTCTTGTGGTTTTTGCTGCTAGACCCTACCGAAGGTCATACAAAATTTTGATTTATGCTCAAGGTACTTTGCAAGTTGTTTTTGGGTTTTGTGTTGTAAAATTTATTTAGCGTTAGATTTAAAAAACATATTTCTTATCATTTTTGATTTGTGCGCTCTTCTGTTTTAGGGATGAAGTCATGCCAAAATGTAACGAAATAAAAATAATGTTAAACCAATGCCAAAACCAGAACCCGAACGGAAATAAAGAATTTGCATGGGGTTGCTGCCAAATCTCCCTTGGCAAATGGAATTTTTCCTTTTCTTTTCTATTCATTTTTATTTATATTTTATATAAATTGAAATTTTTCCAGTTCAGTTTTAAACATGCAAATAGTGGCGAACACCCTTAAATCGATGCAAATGCACCATGGGGTAGCAGTGCACATTTGGACAATTGATTGCGCCCTTAAAAATTGCTGGCAGCGGATTTTCCTAAATTGCCATAAAAATTCAATAGAAACAAGAAAGGAAAGCTAACTTCGGGCGGAGCCGAAGTTGATATACCCTTGCAGAATACTCTGTATATTATATTCTCCAAAATTATTCATATGATGCATTCTTAATACTCATAAAAAATCCCAACTTCCTAACTTTAAAAACACCAAAGTTATGGCATTTCCAATCGTTCAGTTATATGGCAGCTATAAGATATAGTCGGCCGATCCTTATGAAATTTGGTATGTCGGATTGATTGGCCAAAAATAAAACCCATAGAAAATCCCAACTTCTTAACTTTACAAACACCAAAGTTATGGCACTTCCGATCAATCAGTTATATGGCAGCTATAAGATATAGTCGGCCGATCCTTATGAAATTCGGTATGTCGGATTGATTGGCCAAAAATAAAACCCATAGAAAGTCCCAACTTCTTATCTTTAAAAACACCAAAGTTATGGCTTTTCCGATCGTTCAGTTATATGGCAGCTATATGATATAGTCGCCCGATCCGGCTCGTTCCGACTTATATACTACCTGCAATAGAAAGACAACTTTTGGGAAAGTTTCGAGCAGATAGCTTTAAAACTGAGGGACTAGTTTGCGTAGAAACGGACGGACAGACGGACAGACGGACAGACTGACAGACGGACAGACGGACAGACGGACGGACAGACGGACGGACAGACGGACAGACGGACATGGCTAGATCGACTCTCCTGGTGATGCTGATCAAGAATATATATACTTTATAGGGTCGGAAATGTCTCCTTCACTGCGTTGCAAACTTTTGACTGAAATTATAATACCCTCTGCAAGGGTATAAAAATATCGGAAAAACTCGGGAAAATATTTATGAAATTTGCCTACCATCCCCTGGTCAACCTGGGGGTTGTTGCTCAAGTCAATCTTTAATTGCAGCGCCGGCAGCCGGAAAAGTATCGAATATCTGTCCGTAATCAATGAGATGAAATTTGCATGGACACGTGACAAATAATTAACTGCCCAAAACGGGCGAGATTCCAAACTCAGAGGGTGGCTGTATTTAATCAATAGCCATGGCAATATCGATTTTGATTCCGGCTTAGGAACTTTTTTTTAGAACTTCAAACAACTGCAGCTGCTGACCTGACCCTCCAACTTGACCCTCACATCACCATGCTGGGTTTTTGTTATCGTAGTTTCTGTTTTTTCCAGCGGAATATAGCCATTCATACAGATGTATTTTTTAATGCAAACATACTAATCAGAGGGTTGGTCAAGGCCTGACCCAAAACCGGAAACAGTTTCACTTATTATGTTTTTTTCCTTTTTTTATGAGGGTGCTGTTTTTGGTTACATTTAAAAGAGGAGAGGAAAGGAAACCCAGCTGCTTGTGAGTTTTTTAAAATGATTAAGCAAGTCGCAGATATGCTTGAGACTATTGTTGACAAATTGAATCAAATGGCAATTTGATAATTGAAGCAGCCAAGGCGTTGGACCAGCATATAACACCCCGAAAAATGAAGGTCCCCTATGGGAACGTTTTTCAAAAAATGAAACAAAGGAAAAGGTCTTCCCCTATCGACGACAACTTCACAGTCAATAAGTTGAAGATACTGATTTTTTAAGACCTTGGATTGGACTCGAGTCTGGCACACTTCAATCAGTGGTAAAAAAAAAGAAAAACATGCGGTGGCTTGTAAATTGGGATATCAGAAATCAACATCAAAATAATAAAAGAAACTCAAGTTTAACAAATACAAATTGCATGACATTTATTTAATACATATATACATATTTAAAGTAAGATATAATAACTAAGGAATAAGTGGAATATAAAATAAAATTACGATTTATATTTGTAGTTATGTGTAAAATTTAATTTCGACTTTTAAGTTCAAATTTACGCTGTTGTGGACTCGACGAAGTATTTGCTAAAAGGCACGCAGCATTTTAAAAAACACACGTTTTTAAAAAAATGAAATTTCAAATATAGCAAATAGTTTTCGCCGATCCATATTAATCTTGGAGCCATCAACTCAAATTGGGCAACTCTTCTCACCGAAGAACAAATTCCTTAAACACTAAAAAATAATCTGCGAAATTCGTCACCCAAATTTGAAGAGTTGATGGATCTGACTTTGGCTTTTGTTTTTATATTTTAAAATATTTTTGTTATTATACGTTTGACTAGAATCTTTTGGTTCTTGTTTATGCGACTAGTTCTGGTCTTTGGAATGTTCAAACTTAGAATGGTTAATTAAATGATAGGATATATAATAGAATTTTGAATAAACCATAAAATGTAATTCTGTTTTGAGGTAAAGTTACTACAAAAATTGGTTTAAACTTTAAGAGTTGCTTTTGCTGCAATTTTATGTTTATATGGTTTCGTAGATTTTCGTTATAAATTCATTTTATTTTAATTATTGTTTTCAAGTCCGTCTGAGGTAGCATTTTTGTTATCTTTATTAACGATTCATAATATATTTAATTTATTATTATGGTAATATTTTACTTGCGTATGCTTGTTTGGTTTCTTTAAATATGTTTGTATAAAAAAGTACTAATGGTCATTGTACTTTTGCCCTGAGTCGTTTAAATGTTCTTAATTCTTACCTTCCGGCGCTAGTTTTCTCCCAATCTATCTCGTATTGACCCCTCCCCTTCGTAAATCTGAACTTTTAATGGTGTTATCTTTAACAACTTTTTATGTACACGTTGTGCGCTAGAATTATGTTTTAGTGAAGACATTTCCTTGGATATAACTTGGTTCAGATACGGTTAATACAAGAGTGTTTGCTACAGAGGATGATAATCAATAGAAGTGGAGATATTCAAGGGCCATCTTTCAGAACATCCTAGGAGTGTAGTCTTCGCTATAAAGATTTTGATTTTGAGCAATTTGTTTTGTGCTGAAGCCTTACCATAGCATTGTTTATATGCCATATATATGCCGATCCCCCGGGGACTTTTCAACTCTAACCTAAGCACGACAAACCCACGCCATATCTAGATGAGAAATGTATAATTGTAATTTTGATTTTATGCTGCTGCTACTACGATATATATTCCTTCTAAGTGGTATATATTGTATTTTTCCAATGGGTCTGTCCCTCCATTTTTTGCCTCCCCTTCGCCTACACTATGTACGTATTTAGATTCCTCTCACCCTCCGTTCTCCTTCTCTTCATTTTTTTGGTTTCTGCAACTCGTTTACGATAAATTACTATTACGCATAGGAACTTTGATAGTTAATCACTAGAGATATATGTTATAGGTTGCGGTATGTTATGCTTTACGCTGTGTCATGCGTCTATCAAAATATATGTATATATATTTATATATATATATAGATCTTATTTTGATGGTTAGCAGAGTGTTGCCAGCTGAAACGGACTTGTTCTTGTTGTGTTATAGGCTATAGATTTGATTAGTGCCATGTTGGACATGGTGAACTTTTTGGCCCGATATCGGGCTTAGATATTGATCGATTGTTGTTGTCGTTATTATGGTTTTTGTATATTTAAGTTTAATTATGAGCTCAACTAATATGCGCACTCAGTCTTTTGTAGTTCCACTATTTTGTCTTGTTCATGTTCCTAACTTCGTTTGCTTAACTATTAAGTGGGGGGGGATTGAAAGCTCGGGGAATGGGACACTCTGTGTTTTACTTTAGTTTCCAAAATGTTTAAATTTAAAAAGAGTTTCTTTTGAAGTTGGATTGCTATAGAGTGTCCCAAACCCCAAACCTCGTTTCTTTGGTTTCTATGGCTTGAACTTACGCTGGCAACACTATACCTGTTGCATGTGGCACCTTTAGGCCGGTGTTAGCCGGAAGCTGAGCGTGGCCGACTCCGAGGCCCGAACCCTAACGGGCAGATAGACCAGGGCGGGGGCAAACTGCATCTCCGAGTCGGCGTCGGCGGGCTGCAGGTGGAAGGCCTGCATCTGATATGCTTCCTCGGCCCGATCCGGTTGCGCATAGCTGGCCGGCTTGCCACTTCCGTTGGCCAACTCGCCGCAGCCCTCAAAAGGGGAGGTGGCCGCCGATCGATGGCCCCCGTTTCCGTTTCCATTTCCACTGCCCAGACCATTGGGCGTGGTTGGAGGCTTCGAGGAGGAGGATCGACGACGTTGAATCTTGGGCGAAGATGAGCTGGTTGCTTTGGGGGAGTAGTTGGCCGGAGATGGAGATCCTGCTCCAGTTATGGGGGAATGGGAATGGGTCGCCACTTTGGGGGCCGAGGTGCTGAGGTTGGTGGGCTCCAATGGTGGCTCCGGTTCTTCGGACTTAATGGGAGGAGGTGCTGCCACCGCCTTGCTGGACTTGCTGCGGGATTTACCCGGATTTCTTGAGGGTTGCGGTGCCGGCGTCTCCATGGGCAACTCCATGGCCTCGCCGCCATTGTTGAGCAGGGCATGCGAGCGCTCGTGGATGAAGAGGAAGGCGTAGTAGGGCGTGGTGAAGGGGCACAGTGAGCACTGGTACTCCTTGAACCGGGACGCCGGTTCGCCAAACATTCCCGGCAGCGGAAGTGGTGGCATCTTGGGCATCTGCTGCTGCTGTTGCATCTGCCCAAAGAGGTGCTGGGCATTGAGGTTCTGCAGGGCCTGGGCGAGATTAGGAGCGGCAGTTCCGGCTCCCGCGCCCGCTGGAGTTGGGTTACCACTACTGCCATTGGGAATCTTGAGCGTGGGACTGTTGGGCTTGCTGCGTCCCGAGGATTGAGTGGTGTCCATCTCCCTGAGGCGTTCCACTCCGGCGGTTCCGTGCTCGTTCATCAGATGCGATCGCAGCCACTTAAAGCTGCGGAACTGGCGCGAGCAGAGTGGACAGACCTCGTGATTGGAGTTGGATGGAGCACCGCCCTCCACTGTGGTTGGTGAGACATTCAGGTCCTGATCCTGCTGCGATGGCTGTGATCCTGCTGCAGCTGCTGCTGCTGCGGCAGCAGCCTCCATCTTGACCCCGTTCTGACCCCTCGGCTGGGGGAGGGGGGATCCCTCCTCGATGATGCCATGGGTGTTGTGCTTGTGGACTCGCAGGAAGTACTTGCTGCACAGCTCCTTGTTGCAGATGTTGCACACAACGCCGCCGATTTGGGCGCCATTCTCGATCTCGATGCCGTGCATTCGCTGCATGTGGGTCTTCATGAAGTACTTGTTGCACAGCTCCTTGTTGCAGATCTCGCAGTAGCTGCTGGTGGGCGTTAGGGTGTAGGCTGGACGATTTCCGGCTGGAATGGAAGGAGCACCGGCTCCGCCCGCTGGCGGCGCCACTGGGCGTTCGGGCGTGAAGAAGCCATCGCGCAGGGGACTTCCACTCAGTCCTCCATTCCTGCCCATGTGCACCTCGGCGATATGTTGCTTGAATTCCTGGGCTGTGGCGAAATCCCGATCGCATTGCTGGCAGCGGAGATCGCCCCCAGGCGGGGATCTGGCTCCTGGAGCCGGCGGTGTCTGGGGATTGCCCTGGGCGTGGTACAAACTGACCATGGGATGGGGTGCCTGCTGATCGGGCAGTGGAATCGGCATGGGCATGGGCAGTTGCATCTGGCCGGCGTGCTCGGTCATGAGGTGAGCCCGCAGGGTGTACTGATTCTCCTGCTCCTGGCCACACAGATGACAGGGCAGGGGACGCTTGCCATTGATGTCGTTCAATTGCTGCAACATGGACTGCAGTTTCTGGAGATTCTGCAATCCCACCACCGACCCGTTTAGCTTGTCCTCGTCATAGCCCTCGGATGGTGATGCCTCCTGTTCCAATTTGATCCTCTTACTGGGCTGCTCGGAGTCGGGTTCTGCCTCAGGAGCCTCTCGCTCGCGTTCCTGCTCCTGCTGATCCATGGTGGCAGCCGCCGCCTTGGCCAGCATCAGATTGAGGGGCATAAAGGGCCAGGCACTGGGCATCTGGCCCTCATCCTTGCCACCCGGCTGCGGTGTCACATCTTCGGGGGGCACGAACAGACCGTGGCGCTTCCACTTGTGGGTGCGCAGGAAGTATCGATTGGCATACTCGCGGTAGCACAGTTCGCAGAAGAAGTCGGGAAACTGGACGCCCAGGCGACGCAGCTTGTCCGGACTGAAGTTGGCCTCCTTGGCCTGCTGGTGGAGGTGCGATGGCAACTTCCGGGGCGGCGGCACAAAGCTCAGCTCCTCCTGCTCCAGGGTGAAGTCCTCGCGGAAACCCTCGGGCAATTGATACGGCTTGGGGAGCTCCGCTTCCTGTGACATTTCCTGCTTAATTTGCGGTGGCGATGCCTCATTGGGACTGCCGCGAAGGGATTGCGATTGCAGGGGAGTCTGCGAAGTGGGCGAATCCTGAGCAGGCTGAGTGTCATGCTGCTTGGCCCGATGACGACGCATGGCGAAGATGTTGGTGAACCGCTTGGAACAGATGTCACAGTGGACAGAGGCCACGGGAGTCGTGGATGCTGCACCACCTGGAATGGGTTCCTGTTTGGCCACCTGATTCGCCTCCCTCTGCAACTGGAACATTTGACTCATGGAACTCATACTGGGATTCGGATGGCCACTGTTATTGTTGTTACTACTGGTGATATTGTTGTTGTTGTTGTTGTGGTGACTGGAAGTGTTCGAGGTGCTCGATTCACCCACGGGATCGAAGATGCCATGCTTGTTGGCCTTGTGCGTTTTGAGGAAATACTTGTTGCAGAACTCCTTGTTGCACAACTCGCAGTAGGCCTCGGGATTGAAGATCCTCAATGGAGGACGATTGAGGCCATCCACTCCTGGGAACCCAGACATCCCAAGCAGTGGCAGGTATCCAGCTGGACCCAAGGCTGCCTCGGGGGGAAAGGGAAAGGTGGGCGGCATTTGGGGACCATGACCATGCGGATGATGTTGGGCCTGCATGGCCTGGAACCAGTGCTCCTGCTCTCGCTCCATATCCTTGCCATGCCCGTTGCTGAGGTCCTGCTGCATTTGCTGCTCCTGCAACTGCGGACTGGCAATATCGGCACGTTCCAGTTTCACCTTAATGGAGGCCAGGAAGTCAGCGGGATCCTGTTCACCCGTTCTATCATCCCCATGATCCTGCAACATGTGCAGGCTCAATTTGAACTCCGTTTCGAAACTCTCGCCACACTGTTTGCAATAAGTGTGATAGGGATTCTCGCGCTGCTTGCTCGGTTCTGATATGTCTGGCATGGCTTCTGTTTCCGTTTCCGTTTCCGCTTCCGGTTCGGGTTGCAGTTGCTCCTCCTCTTGCTTCTGCTGCTTCAGCATTTCGAAGGTCTCCTTCAGCTGTTCAATGGACTTGGGAAGGAACATCTTGGACAACTTCTCCTCGTAGTCCACGGTGGAGGTATCTCTCTTTTGACCCACATCACCAGTGGATTCGCCACTCAAATTTAGTGCCTCCAAGCGACTGGGATTGTGCTGTTTGCGTCGCTTTTTGGCTGCATCGCTTAGGGCCTCCAGGAGCTGCAGCTGCATGGCTGCCGCCATTGTGGCCATGTTGGCATCGCCCTGCCCCTCCTCCACCTCCTCCTCCTCCTCCCCTTCCTCCGCCTCCTTGCGCCCCTGCCCCGCATCCACCAAGTGGTCCGCTTCATTTGTGCCGCTTCCCGCTGGCTGGGGTTCCAGTTGCAGCTCCATTGCCTTGACCAAGTGGGCGGTGGGTGAAGTGCCTCCCACTCCCACTCCCACTCCCGCTCCTGTTGCTCCACTGGATGTGGCTGATGTGGCTGTGGGTGTTGTTGCTCCTGTGGCTTCATGTGGATTGTTGCTGCTGCTACTGCTGGTGTGGTTGTTCCTGTTCGTGTTGAGTGTCGATGAGTTGGAGACGTCGGAGAGAGCAGTGTCCTCGCTGCTCAGATCTGGCGGTGGGGTGGCATATATGGATGCAGCCATTTTGGATGATATTACTGCGGAGAGAGGGAAGAAATGGTAGAGGGAGAAACATTGTAGTGGAGAACTTTTTAATTGAAGTCGAAGCCATGCTAGCGGGGGGTTTGGCAAAAGGGGATGGGACAAGGGTTATTTATATGCATGTACGTATAGTAATTTATCCGCCATATGCGGTGGATTTCAACATAATAAGCAATAAAAATTAAAGAACTTAAGTCCAAGAACTTAACAAATAACTCTGTCAAAAAACATATAATGAATAAGTTCATTTAACTTCGTTTTCTATAAAAAAAATCCTAACCATCTATTATTCGTTATAAAAATGGCTAAGTACTCTCTTAAGATACAAAACCAATTCATTCATAAGTCCAATGATTATTTTTCTCGGTGCACATAATGTATGGACCGAGGCTTAGATCGCATTATTTGTGCAAAAAGTAAAACGTACAGGATATTCGACCAAGAATTCCATTCTATTTAGTTTGGCTTCAACTGAATGCCACTCAAATTTTTCTCCATCACACACACAATCGCGTAAGCCCCCACACACACGCAGAATATTTGTGTCTCATTTCCGTATGCGCTTAATTTCATTTTTCTGCTTCCATCCGCCTTCTTCTGCTTCTTCTCCATCATCATTATTCCCACCCATCACCCACACACGCAACTCCCATACTATTTTGCTGTGGCTACACTTTTTCATTTTTGTGCAAATTCTATGAAAAATTTTTCCATTATATATATATACATATGTATAGCACACATATAGGGGAAAGGAAACTTTCTTTTTTTCTTTTTGTTTGTTTACTAAGCGCCCCAGCTGCCACCCACTAACACACATACACACAACCCCATTGTGGCGCACACGAAAATTTATACAAAGTCATCCGATTTAAGGAATACAAATTTTGCTTATTTTCTTGTGTGTAAGTGTGGGTGTGTGCGTTTGTGTGTGGGGCACACAGAAAACTTTTTGCGCCTCCCAAGCATACATACACACACACACACACAGCCATTGCCACCCCACTTTTCCCCCCCGGCCAACACCATCACTTGAGTCGAGCATAAAACTTATAAAAATTTTCTTCAACATGACTTGGTAAAATAAATTTGATTCTCAAGAAAAGCAAAAAGGAAAATGTGATGGAGGAGGGGCGAGGGGGAAAATGCCAGGCAACAGGGAGGCAAAAATAGGCGGAGATACACACAGGAAGAAATGATGATTAGGAAAGATGATACTTTTATTGATTTTGATGAGTAACAATTTAAAAACGAAACTGTTATATTTTTTAATTTTAAAACACAATTTAGTTACTAAAGTTGAATCCCTAAATGATTTTCCCACTTGAGAAGTGAACAGTACATTTTTTCTAAGTTGAAAAAACTTGATAATTGATAATGGACAGCTGTGGTATTCGAACTCGGTACCCTTAGTATCAAAAGCAACCAATCATAAATGTAGTAAATTGACAGTATAATAAAATGAATCTATTTTAGTACAAAAGCAGATATAATTACAAATGAAATAGACCATACTAAAATAAGCTTCATTTTGTTCTGTGTAGGAAAAAATTTTCGAAATAAACCGAAAATTTCTTTTTCCTATTTAAGCAGAGGCGGAAAGGAGAAAACCAAAGGAGGAGCAGTCAAAGGGTAGGGGGAAAATAAGTTTGTCGGGTTGGGGGTGGCAGGAAGAGAGTAGGCAAAAAGAAAGAAAGAAAAATATTCTCAACTATGCTGCAGACATAAATTAAGTTTCCATGGTTGGAAATTGGTTCTCCAGCTACATGTTGTCGTTGTAGTTGTTGTTGACTTTGCTTTTATACAATTTCTTCAGGCCAAAAGCCCCCTTTCGACTCCCCCTGCTCCTGCCCCTTTTAACCCCCCATGACCCCGGACCTGCCACTTTGAGGAGTTAAGCAAAAATGCCTGCCAGGATGTGCGCATTTCTCTTCAGTATCTTTGTGAGTTTGTGTGTGGGCGAGTGCTGCTTGTATTTCGGTTGGGATTTTTATAAAGCCTAAGGTAGTTTGATGTTATTTTATTTGATTTTTTTCGCCTGCCTGCCCGCCTTATATCCATCTCTTTGTGGCAGGAGGAGGATGCCCAAGAAAAATGTTCCAAATGAAAATGCCAACAGAGTGTAAACAAAACCATGTACTCCTTCACTAGATATATATGCAGACGGCCATGTGTATATTGTATATTTTGAGACTTCAGAAGAGAAGCGGCTAATTTGGCAAGCCAACATATCAAACCAGTTTTGGAGGGGGCTGGAGGACTCAGAAAGTAATCTTGGCTCGGCCTAGAGGAAACCAATAACGTCAGATTGGTTTTGGTTCTGGCTTAGATTCATTGTATAGTGTATATATAAATTTCAGAATTATTTCGAGTAAATTAATAAAAGGTTATATAAATTTCAGAATTATTTCGAGTAAATTAATAAGAGGTTCCAAAAGGGAACTGTCAAAAACTAAACTTAAGCAAAGCAATGTAAGAAACAAGTAAAATGTTTTAAAAATATGTATTAAGCTATAAAATCGTAATATCCTAATATTAAATTTGTTGATTAATATAAATATTTAACCTTTTCTTTAAATTGAACTTGAAATACTCAAAACTGTAAAATTAATTTAATATTAAAAACATTATTTTAAAAATAAACTTTGTCAAAATAATTAAAAATGAAAAATAAAATAAAAACGCACACAGGTTTAACAGCTTAATAATCTTAACGTTGTTAAAAAAATGCACAAACGAAACCCATTAATAAACTGGTTATTTCTTTTTTAAAGATCATGTCCTAATGATATATTATATTTATCCAAAGGGGATCACTAAACACTGTGTTATTAAGTCAACTGATTAATTAATTATAATTATAAGTTGTAAACCTACTCATTAAGAATGTTTTTGTATTTTTCGCGATCCGAATTTATTTTCCGTTGTGTGTTTTCTTAAAGTCACTCGTTAAAAATTTCACTGAACATCCTTTAAACTTATTTCTCCGTTCAGTGATCACTTGATGCTCTCGTTATGTTCGCGTTATGCAAGTCACTTTTGCGCATGCGCACTTTCTCTTTTCTTTTTTATTTGGCGTGTGTCGGGATCGTGTCCTGCCAAGTGGCTAGCTCGTTGTCAACTGCCGCATGACGCAGCGGAATAACAAAAAATATCGGCTATCAATTGCCGGTTGCCGGTTGAAAATCAAAACAGCAAATAGCAATGATACTAAAATCACAACGACACACCAACCCAACCTAACCCTCCATATCGTTTAATACTCGCGCACACACACAGATCCCCCCCACTACCCATATCACCGAAAAAAACCTCAATAAAACACCCCAAAATATCAAAAATCATAGAATTTCCCTTAAAAAAAATCCATACAGCGACAACTGAGCAGCGCTGCCCGGAAAACCATTATTGCTCCGCCCCTTTTCGTTTTCTTTTTTCCTCCTCTCTTTTATTTTTTTGAAATTTTCAGTAACCACCACAACTACAACTGAACTACAAAAGAAAGGGACGGCGACACACGAATGAGCAACAACCGCGCAACTTGGAAGGTTTTTCCCGATTGTCGTGCCAATTTATCATTGTTCGATAGGATTTTCAATTTGTTTTTCCTACTGCAGAAGTTCGTGTGCCGCCATCGTTGTTATTGGTGTTCCGGCAGCGGCAGTTATATTTTTGTTATTTTAATTTATGCACTCCCTATGAAAAGAGTCACAAATTCTTTGGTTTCTTTGAAGTAGTTGTCACAAAAGCAGGAAACTTCTTGACTTGAGTAGCAAGGAATTAAATAAATATTTTGTGAAAGGGTTTGGGGGTAGTTTGATTTTCCACAATGCCGAAATTGGCTAATTGAAGGGTTACCAAGGACCCAAAAGTGATCTGTCTCCACACCCAGGTAAAAAGAACCTTTTATAAATACCTTTTAGGGATTTTCCACGGAGGCTTTTTGTAATTGTCTTATAATAGTATGATTACTGAGGGTTGTGGAAAGAAATACTTTGGAGAACCCCTATTGCTGGAATATCTTTTAAAGTAAACAATGTGAATTGTCGTCACAAAAAGGATTACGGTAAAACACTTTTTGAATTGAAGACAATGTGTGAAGAATAACATTTGTATAGAGGCAGAAAATAAGCTTATCTTTTCACACTTCAATCTAATACAATGAATAGTAAAGTAAACCATGTGAAGTGGGTAAAGGGGTGATTTACATTATGTCTTTTTTATTTGAAAAGATATGGGTGTTAAGACAAATATGATATAATCGATTGCATTTCTTTTAATTTTTCATTTATGCTTTTAATTGAGTTGTACAAAAATCTCAGCTCAATTATAATTCATTTAAACATCTCCACTTTTAAATTGAATTAAAGACGGGTGATATTTGGCCAAACAGTGGCTCTAATATTTTTCCGATTTTAGGTCTTGTGTTGAAACTGATTTCCTGTATTATTTTGAATGTGATTATTAACTTATGAAGAATAAATTAATTGAAATACATGAATAAAGTGGCTTGCGCTATGTTAGGGTTCAAGCGAGTCCCTGAAGGGATTAGGATTTGCTTCAGTGGACATCTCCATAAATCTGAGTCATAAACTCTCCCCAGAGGTACGGCCAGTGATTGTTTGCTTTTCCCGATTGACGGATTGACTTGTAGATACTTGTAACTCGAAGGACATGCCTGCTGCAAGTGCATGTGTGTGCGTGTGGGTCCAACCTTGGCCACCCCTTTTCCTTTTTCCCTCATCCTTTTGCCACTCGGCATTCAACACACATCAGAGGCCGAAAAAGTGAAAGTGACTTCCCCTCGTCGTGCGAGCGTCCTTCTGGAATTGCGCCTGCGCCAAAAAGGTGACTCTCTTTTTTTGGAGCAGCCGGTCATAGTCATATGTGTACAAGTGTGGCTACAAAATCGCCGGTTGAACGAACCAGGCTGGCAAAATAGTCCAACAGCAACAGTCGGAGCGGAGCAGTTGGCAACTCATTGGTCGGCAGCTGAATCGAATCGAATCGGATCCGACTCCAGCCCCAAACCCACCCAACTACCCACTCGGTCTGGTCTATTTTGACCTGGTCGCCGTCGTGGTCGTGGTCAAGGTTTTCCCATCTACTTTCACTCTCACACATGTCCACTGTGACGTTGTCGTTGTCGTTGCCGGCACTTTCACTTTCGCTTTCACTCGACTGGATCCACTCGCACGCACGCACCCCCCGAAAAAAGAGGGGCTTCCCCCTTTGTAGGCGCATGTGCTTGCAGCGGGCGGAATGTAAACAAACCGCAAATATCGCGGTCAAAGCATTCTTAACTTTAAAGATTTGCATTTGGAGGGAGCAAGTCTTTTCTATCTTCAAACTAAACAAAAATAAATAATTATTTAACGCATAAGCATATTGTGTTTATATTTTTTTCTAATAAAAAACTCTTAAAATTTTCTAAATTGAATTATTTTTACATTCCGGACTAAAAATAAAATATTTCTTTAACTTCTTTTAAACTTATAAAAAGATTCTTCATTATCAGGGTTTAGTTACATGACTCGTTTTTAAAATACAATTAAAACCATTTTAAATTGTTTATAAAAATGACTTCTCTTATTTTCAAATATTTGTATAAAATGTGAGCTTTTCAAAATAAGTATAACAAACCCATATGTAATATATTGACAAATGCTTAAAATTATAATTTTCAAATAAAAACCACAAAATACAGAGCGTTCTCAAAACTGACACCCGCCCAACTCATTGCGTACCAAAATGGTAATTATTAAATTTAAATTCAAACTCGACCAAACCCACTTCGCACCCTTAACCTAGCGTGTCCTGACGAAATGTCGGTTATGATTGATACGCCCCTTTCAGCCCATATGCCACACTAACGAGAACACCTTCAAAAGCCGTCCCTGACAGGACACCCCCGCCTGAATGTATTATGTGGATTGCAATTAATATTTTTGATGAAAATCAAATTGAAATTATGCGTGGACTCAAAAATGGAAATGGAAATGGGAATAATAATGGTCAGGGGATTGGGAAATCAACCCTCAACTCGGGAGTAATGATCTCTGTTGGTTTTCCATCTAGTGCGGGGGAGGAATTATTCGGAGGGGTTTTTGGTGTCGCCTTTCCTCGGGAAATGTGTGTCACAAATTACTTTATGCGATTCTGCTTAGTTTTTTGATGTGCCAAAATTGGGGTGCTACTTTGAAGTCTTTTTGATTAGGAAAGAAAGTTTCCCCACCCTTATAAGAAATGCAATTACGCATAGCAGTTAGATTTAAATCTAAGGCTTATACATAAGCTATTAAATAACTATTCATTATATTTGTTAATAACAACATCAAAAAATAACCAGTGATTCAACTTTACCTTAGAAAGAGTAGAAAAAAACATCTTGACTATAAATATGTATGTTTCCCATAACTAGCTTTTAATTTGTATTTAATCAGTAGAAGTAATCGAGAAATATAATGACTATAAGGAGCCCCCATAATTGATAAAGAAAACCCCCTAGTTCTTCAGAAATTGTAATCATCTAACTTGTTAGAAATATGTAGTATGTAGCAACAATTTCGTAGAATTTTCTTTTCCTTTGAGTTAGCAGTATAAATCCTTTTCCCAAAGCCCTAAGCCAAACGACAAAAAAACGGGAAAACATTGCCAGTTTCTGTGTGCCCGGCTCATTAGTAAGAAATCTCATTAGAAACCAATGAACGCGCTCGGAAAACAAACAAACAAACACATTTTTGATGGGTGGGGGGTGGAAAACCATGTAATGAGAGCTTCGAAGGCCTCAAAATCGTTCACCGTTTGATATTTTTCCATCATTTTCACTTTCACATCTCCATGGCGCATGGGCCACGAAGTGAAAAATTAATTTCCCCCAACCATTTTCATTTCCCACACACACACACACAACCTATTTTTCGACCAACCGAAAAGCGAAAAGCCAACAAAAACTATTTCCATCCTTGTCGGGCACTGAAACTTTTTTTTCTATCAAATATTATTTTGTACAATAAACTAAATGCGTGTGTGTATGCGTTCCACCCCCTGTGTTTATGTGTGTGTTTGTCTGTGATAAAATAAAAATACGAAAAATATGAAAAAACGAGGAAAATTAATAATGAAACTCAAACACAGAGACAAGGACAAATGCTGTGCACATAAGCCAGGCAATGTGCGTATGTGTGGCGGAAATGTGGGAGAGGGGTTGTAATAATCATGTTTATAATAAGGCAAGTGTTTTCCCTAGTTCTAATGAGACACAGACTATGTTCTCTATCATCTGCCTTATCAGCATGATAAAGCCACCCTTCAAAGTATGCAGCAAAATATTTTGCAAGAAAAATCTATCGTCCAAGAAGTTTTCATCCAAAAAAAAGAATACAAAAGCAGAAAACATTCCATAAATTCTAGCTTCTTCTTTCTCAAACACACAAACACACAAAGGGAGGGGGGTAAGTTTGCAATTTTATCAGAAATTCACACACCCACACACAAACAGCCAGGGGAAAACCACCCCACGCCTTCTTTTTGGCCCCCGAAGCGAGTTTATGAAACCATCAAATTATTTTCTTTTCCATTTCTGACACTCAAAAGAAACGGCAAACATGCAGAAGGAGAGGGATGAATGTGGAATGGGTGGGAGTTGGGGGTGGGGGGTGGAGGTTCGGAGAAAGCAAGAAATGAAGGAAAAAAAAGGGAGAAAAATTATTATTTTCCAGTTACAGTCGGCTTGGTCTCCATGGTGGCCCTGGCACATCCTTTACATTATTTTCCTGCTGCTGCTCAAAGTTTTTGCCATGTGGCCCCCACCAAAGCCCCTCCTTTCCCTTAACCCATAATGCCTGCGGGTTACATTTTGCCCAGTTTGTGGGTGTGTGTGTGCAGCTACTTCGTCTTATTCGAGTACGAAATTTTTATGAGAAAATGCCTGGCTGTGTGTCTGTGTGTGTGTGAGTTACTGGGCTGTATATCAAAATATTTAAAAGCAAATATAATATTGGGGGAGGTGGGTGGCTCTTGGGGTGCCTGTGCCCGCAACTGTGTGTGTGTTTTTGCCTAGCTGGAATTCGGGCAAAAGGCGTAATAGAAAAACACTTAAGCCAACCCCCAACCCCCAACCTCTAGGCTCTGCGAAATATCAAAATGTAAAAAAAATCATATATATATATATACAGATGTATACAAGTATATACTTATATTAATAATGAGCCGCAGCGCCAGCGCAAAGAGAAAATGAGAAAAAAGAAAAATATTCGCTTTGCAAGTGTGTGTCTGTGTGGAATTTATTGATTTTCAGCGAATAAATATTGCCGGAGGAGCACATGGCAAGTGACTTAATATCAGTCGGCTGGATATTTACAATGGACACATGCAAAACGCATATCAATAGATATATTGAAATTGATTTGGCCTGCTGACGTTGCTGTATGTTATCGTTGAAATTTTTATATTTTTATTGTCAGTCGCAGTCGCATTAAAAATACTTAATCTCCGACGGCCCAGTTATTGCCTCCGCCCTGTCATAAAAAGTGGGTGGTAACTGGGGTTGGCATTTTAATCATGTCCATATCGAAAATTTTACTTTATCGCAATCCCGAGCCGGCCATATTATTATTATTCTCGTTTCTGCTTTTACGTTATTAGCACCCGTAAGGGGACATCGTGGCGTATGCTCGATGTGCGATAAAACCCGTGAGCTAATGAGACTTTTTAATAAATTGCCCCATTCCGCCTGGCCCCGTTTTTAGTACAATTTTCATTATTAATAAAACTTTATGACATCTATATCAGACATTGTGCGCTTTTGTTTCATAAAAAAAGAGAGAGAGTCGCGAACAGCACACACTCACACGCCATTTATTATTCCAATTAAATTTACCAACTTCGTTGGTCAGTGTCTATGTGTGCGTGTGAGTGCGTCATGGCATCTATCAAAAAATCGCATCTATCATTTCGGACTTGCTGCTTTTGGGGCCCAGAATTAAACATTCTAATTCATGTAAGTTGTTACTAAATGATATGTGGGGCCACATTTAAATCGGAATAGCATACCTTTGATGAAAGAGAATTACTACTTTAAAAAAAACCATGTAAACGGCAAAATTATACGAGTTCTCTGTTTACAACCTACTTTTCTGTAATCATTAAGATGCGAATTTAAACATTGTGCTGATAATGTGTGAGGTGCCGGACTGAAAGGTCTATTTAGCTAGCTAACTTCATTACTTACATTTAAAAAGGATTAGACAAAAGAAAATTATTTTTCTCATAAGATTAAAAATTGTCTTAAAAATATTTGGAAATATTCAATGTATAATATTGATAATGCTAAGCCTCTTTTAATCATTTTAAAAAACATCTCAATTCCTAACTAAAACATTATGTTATTATTTATATTATATTATATAAAATAAATAAATATGTAGAACTTTCATTGTTGATATATATTTTTCAAATAATTATATACATACATACATGCATTTGATGGGGTATAAACATAACAAAGAAATTAATTTTAACATTTTAGGTACATTTTAAAAAGAATAAAAAATGCAGTCTTTTAATTTCCATAGCTCTTTTTGTATTGAAATTCTTTTTAAATTTCAGAACAATGTTTATGGTACTTTAGAGCTGGAAATGAGGGATAAATAGAGGGAGTTTAAAGCGGAGTTTTAAAGCATTCGAAAGCATTTAGCAACGTTTTTTATAAATTTGCCAATTCGATATAATTTTGATTCCATTTTTTCCAAGCCAATTGTAATTTTGTTGGTTTTTAAGTGGCCAATGCAAGCGGGTACAGTCAACATTCCTTTTAATTATTTGGATAAGTTTAGGTTACAGTTTTTGTAGCTGGGACTCACAATGTCTCTGGCCAGAGAGATCATCTTTAATCCTAACTGTAAACTTTTGCGAAAATAAACACGCATCGAACGGAAACTCCTTGGATAAGGCATGTTTTGGGCTAGTATCAAAATTTTTAATTATTTATTACTTAATTAGTTTGTTAACGTTTAAAGCACTTTATGGGGTTTTTTAGCACAGCGTTTTTGGTTATAAAAATACAAAATAAGCTTGGTTATCCTTGTTTTAAATTTAATGTGTTGCCACCACTTTTTGATTGTTATTGGCTTATACAAATCCTCGGGTTTTGTCACTCATTTCGAACACTTTGGACACTGAAATCGGCATATTGCTATTTGCATTTGTTTGGCTTTCATTTGCTTCTCATGGGTTTGGTTTGATTTTGTTGCAGCTGGAAACTTACAGAACTTGTACAGGGCGTTACACTTATTTGATCATGCCGACAAGTCCAAAACGACGCTGTGGTAGCCACCCGCGGCTACTTCTGCACCACGTACGCGTTTTCTGTAGACTGATTCGGCTTTTCCGTTTTCCCAATTGCCAGCCTGCCGCCAAAGGATGCAGACACCCACACTCGGGCACTTCCACTCGAAAGAGAGCGAGAGTCCGCGAGAGAAACCACCCCCAGAGCCACCCCCAACCTCCAGCGGGCAACGCTCTGTTGCTATTTTGTTTACTTCTCGCCGCGGGGGCGTTCTACGGGAAAAAAGAGAGAGATTACGCCAAAGGGATTAGCTAGGGAGGGGGTGGTGCTGCTAGGCAAAACATGTGCTAACCTTTTCCACTAACTATACGTTTTTGGCGCCCAACGCGGACCATTCAAAAATAAACTACATTTTGTAGCCTACTTTTTTGGTTCCTTTGAATTAAGAAAAAATAAAATCTTTTAGTTAGGGAAAAAGAGCAATAAACAGTGAATGGTAAGGGCTGGACCAAGCTTTTATTTCTTAACATGGAACCATAAGGCCAGATATTTAAGTGAACTGCTTTTCTATCTATACTAATTAAAATTATTTGTAATTTTAAATTAATTCATTTTAATTTATAAACTATTTTTCTAAACCCATGTCATATTTATATGTATACTGCGCGCCCACTTGATGGATTCGCAGTTAAAGCACACACCTACACAAGCTCTAATCCTACCCTCTGCTCACAGGACATGCGTATTAGATAAGTCAAAAATAAAAATGACACTCAGAGAATTGCTCTCCGGACCATTTTTTGTTGTTGTTGCTAAAACAGTTTATCAACACGACCGAGTCTCTGATAAAACAATCATCGTTTATGGTGCAACACGCTTCAACCGCCGCCCCCCAGCAGCATAATTGAGATATAGTCCAGTGACCAGACCAGTAACATCAAACCAGGGTGGCTAACGAATGGAGTGGAGTGGAATGGCCAGGACGAGAGGCACAAGAGGTTGGAGTGGACTCGAATGTAGAGTGGTGTAGACATGTTCTATAACCGCATGATTAGAAATCGAGTAAAGTCGATGACAAAATGGAATGAGGAGCCAAAATAGGGAGGGGAATAGAGGTCTGAGGGTGGGGTGCCAAACTAGGTTAAACTCAAACCCTTCCGTTCAAATTTTCGCTTAATGATTTTTGAGCTAGTTTATGACAAACAATATCAATGCAAAGGCGTAACCTGCGTGCGAGTCGTTTAACTGACTTTCCCGCCCTTCTTGGCCCTGCGAACCCCACGAAACGACTGTTCCCCTCGGAAAATGGAGCACGCGGCGGAAATGAGAGGGCATAGTTTTCGCATTTTCCTTTAAATTACAAAACAAAACTAAAAACAAAAAAGCAAGTCTTAAGAAAGATAGTCGAGGCATTGAATACCCTGAAAACTACATAAAAGAATCATAATTTATTTAAGTATGAGTTATACAAAAATGTTAAATTATGTAGAAAGTAACTAAAAAACCAGTAAATAATAAACAGAAATTGTTATGCACAAATAGTAATAACTAAGTACTGTAACTTAAAATAAATATGTTCATCAAAGTTTTTAAAACTTTACACAAAACAGTACCGTTCCACTAAATAAATAAAAACAACAAAAAATTACCTTAAAATCTGTAAATAAATGTAATAAGATAAAATAAAGCAGTTGTATTAACTTGTTCGCAGCACATGAACGCTCTTTCCTAAAGAGTATGCATTATAAGAAAAGACGAATGAGAAATCAAATATGCGCTTAGCACGATATATTCAAATTTTGTACGATTTCTGCCGCCCCCGAGGACAACGGGTTTTTATTCGAATTTTTATATGCCATATAAACCAGACCTGTGCGTCAGTACGCGACTTTTCAATAAAAATCCCAGTCCCTTTCGGTGGGTGGATTTATTTATCGCCCTTGCTGCTATTTGAAGTTTTGCGCTGACGGTGCTGGAGCAGCTCCTGGTATTGCTCAATGGATCCATCCTCATGCTTGGACGTAAAAGAGACCGGTTGCTTTTCAGATTTTGTTTGCTCATCGTTGGCAGCTACTTTGCTGCGCTTCGATTTCTTTAGTTTGTCGCGGACGCGTTTTCCCAGCCGCGACTCTGCCAGCACCTGGCTGACCTTGGAGCTCTTCATGTACCGTGAGCGCCAGGACTGCAAATAATAGGGTTTCAAAAGTGATTAACAAAGTGGTTAATTCTATTGACATTCAAAAATACCTCGGAGTCTGGCTGCTGTATTTTGTCACGCTCATCTTCGCTGGTGTCCAGGGATATGACATCGTTGTCCATTTCCTCGGGATCCTGCACTTTCTCCTTTTTCTCATTCTTAATGCTCACTGGAAGTGGCTCGTCTTCTTTAGTCATTTCCTCAATCATTTCCAGATCCCCGCCTATTGAAATGACATCATCGTTTTGATCTTCGTCGTCCAAGTTTGTTGATTCGGAAACCGTGGATTCCTTTGCTTCTTCAGGAGAAATTTGTGTAGCTAAGGGAGCTTCCTTTAAGAGGTTTTCTTTCTCCGCAGATGTTTCAGGCTCATCTGACTTTTCCGGCTCTGCTGGCCCAGTTGGTTCTTCGGGCTTAGCGGACTCTTCGGACCGGGCAGGCTCTACTGGCTCGGCCACCTCTTCTACCTTGGCTGGCTCCTCTGGTTCATCGCGTACTTCTCCCTCCTCCGGCTCGCTCTCCACGACTGGAGCTGGTGGCTCGAGTGAAACCGGCTCTATTGTTGCCTTGCTCTTTTGCTTCGTGGCCTCATCATCTGTGCTGTCGCTGATCAGCAGGGTTTCTGGCTCCGTTTGTATGGTAATTACATCTGGTGAAGCTGAACGCGATTTGGAACGTGACGGCTTACTGGATTCCTTATTTGCAACTGAAGTTTCAGAAGTAGGAGGTGGAGCAGGAGTTGGAGCGGAATCTTCCTTCTCTGGCGACTTGGACGTCTGTCGATAGTTTCGTTTGATTTTGATTCTCTTGCGGGGCGCTTGCTGTTCCTTGCCAGTGCTGTCCGATTCTGCTTGGGGAAGGGTTTTTCCCTCTCTGGTGGCTTTACTTTCCTGCGATTTGCGCTTGCCTGACTCCTTATTTTTGTTGCTACGCTTTTCCTTCTCCCTTCGCTGAACTTTCTCCACTGCGATCTCATCATCGTCATCATCAGATTTCACCTCTATCTTGGTGATTGGCTCCATGGCTAACTGGGATCGAATGGCCCGGGCACGAGCCTGAAGCTCCAGAAGTTCCAGAACGCTCATCTGACCCCCCGCTGTCGAAGAAAAGGCAATCTTAGTAACCCTAGCATCTTTACAGTCAAACATACATTAATTTTAGCCACAGTAGATGGCAGTTGTCATCATGTGTTCATTTGATATTGTTTAGTTTTATACTTTCTTAACCATAATACTCACACTCCTTGTTTTCGTTCCCATTGTTCGTTTTTTTGGCCTTAAGCTTCTTTTTGGCTGAAAGTCAGACACAGATTGCATTAAAAATTGTATGTAAAGTATATTTTAAATTAACTGCACGCCAGAATGCCGGTGAACCAGCAGGCAGCACCGCTGCAACTAGACAGCCAGACTGCCGATGTTGAGGGAGAGGAAGAGGAGGAGCAGCTGGAGGACGAGAATCGACTGGACAAGTTCACGGTGAGAATCAATGGTCAACATGACCTTGAGCAACGCCTGAAGGATTTCAAAGCGGCCTGTGAGGCGCACGAGAAGCATGCTAGGCGGCGTAAGCGAAGGCGCTATTACCACCTGGGTCTGGTGGCTAAACTGGTGACGGAGACTACCCACGACGAACTCCGTCGCATGCTGGAGAATGGAACCTACACCTTTCACGTCGATACGGTAACCAACAAGCCCGAGGAACTGTCGGCCATTTTAGACACAATGAACATTGCCATTTCGGCACACTCTGCGGAAAGGGAACTCCGTCTGACCACCGGCCTGGCACTGGAGATTAACGGCGAGTGCTGCCGCATTGGCAGACTGAGGAACAACTGCACAGTGATGCTGGCGCGGGGTGCGGTGGTCACGCTCACCACCGATGTGGCCTACCGCTACAAGGGCTTCAAGGAGATCGTCTACGTTATCAATCTTAAGGCTTATCTGGCCTCCGTCCAGCTGGGCGACATTGTACTGATCGGAAAGGAAGTTAGATGTCGTGTTGTAAAGACCTTGCGTGAAGCTCTGACCTTGATGATCATAGATGCTGGTCTGGTGGCCTCATACGACTTCATAGAACTTCCCAGGCAGTGCCACGCCCTGGATCCCGATGTATATCCGGATTTGTATTTGAAGGACCTGCAGATGGTCCAGGCATTGAATGCCAACTACGTGGTGCTGCCCAAGATTCGATGCAAAAGCTTCCTTCGCGCCATCCGGCAGACCTTAAACGCCGACTTCAACCTAAAGCTGATCGGTATGATCGACTTTGAGTATGTGCGCAGCAATATGCTGGACCTTCTGGGCATCATCAAGCTGGTAGACTATATCTGGATACCGGATATGTTTAACGTGAGCTGTTGCGTCTACAACTACATTATGGAGGACGTGCTGCCCATTTCGCAGTGCCAGAGGAAGCCAGTAATTGGCACAGTGCCGCTCGAGCGTTGCAGTGACTTCAAGCGGTTTGAATTGCACGAATTCCTTTGGAAGGTCGACGCCATTCACATCCAGAAGAGTCCGTGGTGCAACAAGTATCCGCTGATTGTCAAAAAGCTGATGCCCATCAAGGATTATCGAGTTGGCGTGGTTCAAAACAAGATGGTGCTAAAGAACATTCTGACCTCGTACCAGACGGTAGTGAACTTCATCATTCGCACAATCAGCTCAATTGAGTGTCAGGCTATCTTCTTGTTCACCACATGCGAGACCGCCAGCGTAGCCCTTTCCCGCACTGAGATCTACTGCCCAGTGTATCTGATGATGCCTCTCGAGGAGACCGACGATGCGGATTCCATTGCCTGCAAGGTGGAACTGTCAAGAGCGCTTCATTTGCGCCGCAATATGCACCCGGTTCTTTACACTATGGACCTCAACGAGTGCAACTACAGTCCGATTGAGTTCGGAGTGGATTTCATGCGGAAGAAGGGCTGCTTGGAGGTTGGAGACTTTGTGGTCACCCTGGAGGTGGCCAAGGAGGACAAGGAGAACGTGGTCATAGGCATTGGCGAGGATGTCTGCATCCTGCGGGCCTTCTACGTGTCTCCGCTCTTGGCCTGCGAGAAGTTCAAGTATGGTGGCTAAATATTCGGCGTGCAGTTGTGCAGATAACACAGGTTAACCAGCTCAAAATTAAATGTAAAGTATGCCAAACCACTCACTTCTTCGGGATTCCTGGCCTCCAATGTCGCTGTCCGAGGAAATCTCCTCGAGAGAAATGTGTTCTGAAAGGGGAGCTCTATTATGGAATGGTTGTATATAGTTAGGGAGTGTTGTGACATACCCTCCTTCTGCTCTACATCGGAATCCTCAGAGCTCTCGGTGTCCGTGGGACATCGAGTGCCTTCTATTATGGCTTTCAGACGCTTGGTGGACAAGCAGAGCAGCTCCTCCAGGCAGAGCTCCTCGATCTCATCCAGGGGGGTTTTCTAAGTTAATTATTCTTTTAGTAATGTCTTTATATAGGCATACCTTAACCCACCTTTAGAAACTCGGGAGCCAGGTTCATAATAGTTTTCGGTTTAAGGGTCCCAAATATTTGTTTTACCAACTCTAGACGATCGTCTATATAGTGTGAAATCGGTTGCAGCGTGCGGTCCTCCTCCATCTTTTCCTTCTTTATGCTAATGGGCTTGGGGATTTGGTCGCCCTTGCCGGCTTTTTTGGCCTTTGAGCTGCTCATTTTATCCAATTTGTTGTCAAACTATAAACTAAACAATTTTCGGTCTTCTTGCCAGCGTTGCCACACCAATTGATAAGAGCTGCACAGTGGGATAACATAACTCGTTTTTGAGATTTAATGTTAAGCTCAAAATTGTGAAAACCGAATTAGGGGTTAAAAGTAGATAAAATGCATTTAGAATATACAGTACAAATTCAACTTGCAGTTTTACTTAAACATATTTCGCAAAACTTAACGTTTTATATATTCACGAAATTAAGTTTGTTGTTATTACCATACCTTTTTAATATTAAATGGTTTTTATAAATCTGTGTCCTTGTAATATAAAGGTGTTTTAAAATATGGTACACAAAAAGATTAAAAACACAATTTTTAGAAAGACGATTTGTTTATCAGATTTTAATTGCATTTCTGACTTTTGTTACCCCACTGTGCGCTGTTGTTAGCAGTGTTTTTCTTGTTTCTACAGAACAGCTGATTCGTAAGCAGTCTAGGCTGTGCAAATTTGTCAAGTGTTTTTTGGTCTAAAATAAATAAGGTAAGCATGATTATTAATTTTTTTCTTTATTGTAAGTTGTAATAAGTGATTAGACAGGTGTATAAATTTATTTTCTGAAGTTAAAAGTTGCTTTAAAAGGAAGTACTTGGATACATAGTTGGTGAGATGATGTTAGGCGCTTTAATGTTATTTATGACAGTTTGTTAGTTTTGGCGTAGTATAAATAGTGAAGAGGATTAAAAGCTATCAACAGCAATTGTAAGCAAAGCAAATGGTTATTTTCAATAAAATTCTTATTTGTTTTTATCTTAACATGCCGCCATAAGAGTTACAGCTACATCTGTCTCTGTTAAGTAACGGGTTAGCCAAATTTAGGGTATTTTATTTGCTGAGTATATTCCGAGAGCCGCGGCATGGTCAGACTAAACATATGTTCCGGGAAGAATGGCTGCGATTTCGCGTCGGTAAAAATAGCAAATACTCGTTAATGTGCTGCGGGAAATCCTCCTCCCCGGCCCCAAAGTGAGCAAATGTACGCGCTGCAAGATAGTCGCCGCAGAACGAACGATAGTGACCGAAGCGCCTAAATCAAAGTACCAGCCGCCCCGCAATTACGATGAGTGTGTCGCGCGGCGGCAACACAACGCTGGACCTGCAGCCTCTACTGGCGGACAGCGATGACAACAGGGAGCATGAGGAGAAGGCCGGAGGATCTGTGGGAGTGACGCTACTCAATGGGTCTGGCTCCAAGGAGCTGGGCCACCGGGAGCGCGAGGATTCGTCAGTGTTCGTCAAGAAGATTGGCAGCGCCCTGTTCTACGGCATATCCTCGTTCATGATCACGGTGGTGAACAAGACTGTGCTGACCTCCTACCACTTCCCCTCGTTCCTGTTCCTCAGCCTGGGTCAACTGACCGCCAGCATTGTGGTCCTGGGCATGGGAAAGCGCCTGAAATTGGTCTCCTTTCCGCCCCTACAAAGAAACACCTTTGCCAAGATTTTCCCGCTGCCGCTGATATTTTTGGGAAACATGATGTTCGGCCTGGGTGGCACCAAAACTCTAAGTCTGCCCATGTTTGCGGCCCTGCGACGCTTCTCCATCCTGATGACCATGCTGCTGGAGCTCAAGATTCTGGGACTAAAGCCCTCAACGGCGGTCCAAGTCAGCGTATACGCCATGATTGGTGGAGCCCTGGTGGCCGCCTCCGATGACTTGTCGTTCAACATGAGGGGCTACATATACGTGATGATCACCAACGCCTTGACCGCCTCAAATGGGGTGTATGTAAAAAAGAAACTGGACACCTCGGAGATCGGAAAGTACGGCCTGATGTACTACAACTCGCTGTTTATGTTCCTTCCTGCTTTGGCCCTGAATTATGCGACGGGGGATCTGGAGCAGGCGATGAACTTTGGGCAATGGAATGACTCGGTGTTTGTGCTGCAGTTCCTGCTTAGCTGCGTCATGGGCTTCATCCTGTCGTACAGCACCATACTGTGCACGCAGTTCAACTCGGCGCTGACCACCACCATTGTGGGCTGCCTGAAGAACATCTGCGTGACCTATCTGGGCATGTTCATTGGCGGGGACTATGTCTTCTCGTGGCTCAACTGCATCGGGATCAACATCAGCGTGCTGGCGAGTTTGCTGTACACGTACGTCACTTTTCGACGGAAGCGGGCGCCTGATAAGCAGACCCACTTGCCCAGCACCCGCGGCGAGAATGTCTAGCTTCGTCTTAGTTCAAACTCAAGCCAAAGCCATACGATATGTTTAGCGTATTCTGTACTACGTACTTCGTTCTGCGATCTGCGACTTCGTATTCGATTTCCTATAGCAACACAGCGCATCGTCTCTGTACATAAATCTAGCTATGTATCTAATGAGTGTAATTTAGCAATTATGTAATTTTAATCACTTTGTACATTTGTCCGCATGCAACTGTTTCCCGCATCGAAAGTGTCATAAGTAATATAAATACACAGACATCCAGCTCCTCCTCCGCAATGGGTGGGCCAGATAACCGAAGTGTTGTGTTCTGTTCCATGTTGGGTCATTGCAGATAAGATTGGCTCCCTTGATAAGATCTTCAACTCGGCGATATCTAATTAGGAAAACGTCTGCTCTCCCATGTGCTTTTCTAATAAGGTTTTTTATTTAAAACACGGATGATTCGAAAACACGATGTGGGTTTTTTTCAATTACTTGTGCCTAATCGGGTGTTTATCTATTCTGGGTAAACACGTTGGGGCCTTGAGAATTCTATAAAACAAAGTACTGCAGTGCTGGGCACTCCAGCAGCGTCATCACTTAAAATCACTACGTAGAAAGAAGTCGGAAGACTTGGTGTTATAGCCGGTGACTGGTTACCCTCTATCAGAGTTTTGAGTATTTTATGTTGATTTGAAAAACAACAAAATTATCAGGCAGGGAAAGATTGTGACGGGCGTAATATTCTTATGATTAGCACGCCTTGACTTTTTGGGTCTAGTAATTTTTTTTTGATTACCCAATAATAGACTCTTGAAAGAAATTAAATGTATTGTTATCGAATCATTTGCTTTGTTATAAAAGTTAATAAATGTGCACAGCTAAAACGCTTTTATCTACTAAATAAATTAATGCCTCAAAGATTTGAATCTATTTCTAAGAATTATATTTATTTTTTCCTACCTTAAAAACCGAGTATACTCTTAGCTGTTTTAAACTAATGGCCATAAATATTGTCAGATAGTTTGTACACCATGAAATTGTTTACACAACAATCTTTTAGGCACCAAAGAAACCAACGTATCTTCTAAAATTAACTTTTCTTGCTTGTTTATTAATAGTGACTACCCATTTATCCAAAGAGACACATTGACGACACTGAAATTGAGCGTAAAATTCGAGAATGAGGTGCCAGTGCCCCCTGCAGCACTTTGTTTAGATTTTATTTTGAGACTCCGCAATATTGATAGGTGGCGAGTGAGAGATTCGGAGTGGGGCGAGGTAATGAGGAAGCCGAAACAGGTTTTTACAGATTAAACCGTTGGGCGGACGGAGTGCGGCGATTGTGCGGTGAGGTAAATTGTTAGTCAGCATCAGCCCTGTCCGCGTACCCACATTATGGACAAATTGTTTGCTCATATTCGCTGCTATTGAAAGTGGGCACGTACGGGCCGAGCGGCAAGCTTTAACCGAAGACAGGTAGTCAGGGTCATGTTTATGTGCGATGATGATGATGATGATGAAGCCGGCGATCGTGCTGATAAGGTCACCGGGTGTACCTCCCCATGCCTCCTCTTTGAATCCACAGATCATCATGATGCAACGCTGCTGGCGTCTCCCAAAGCCACTGGCCCTGCGACGAGGTCTTTCTTTGGGCCAGGTAAACAGCCAAGTGGTGGCCTCTGAAACGCCTGAGGCGGAGCCACTGGATGCATTCGAGCGACAGTATCTTAGGGAACGCATCGAGATAACGCCGTTTCAGCGGGTGATCCTGGGAGCCGGGTCCTCCATTGCTGCCCTGCTGAATCCACGACGGTAGGGCATCACATTTTATTTGACTTTCTGTATTAAAATGGTATACTTAAGCCATTAAAAAAATTGGTTTGATGCCTTAATTATTATATAAATAAATCACTTCTGCAGCCACGATATGATCGCCTGCTTGGGTGAGACAACTGGTGAGGATGCTTTATGGAATATTTTGGATACTATGCAGTCCAATGAGGAGGGTCAGCGCATTATGGCCGACAAGCCGCGAATCCACACCAGTACTATTGATTTCAAACGCTTGGAAGCTTTGCCGCCAGACACTTTTGGAGCCGCTTACGTCAAGTTTCTGAAAGATAATGTAAGTAGTGTGGGGTAATGAAAGTTTAGGAACATGTGTTAGTACACACAACACGTAACCAAATCTGGTTAGCAGACATTCTTTAAAAATGTAGATACAAAATCTTCTTAAGGTATTTGCGCCGAATTTCCCAACTTCCTAACTTCACAAACACCAAAGTTATGGCATTTCCGATCAATCAGTTATATGGCCGCTATAAGATATAGTCGGCCGATCCTTATGAAATTTGATAGGTCGGATTAATTGGCCAAATATAAAACCCATAGAAAATCCCAACTTCCTAACTTTACAACCACCAAAGTTATGGCATTTTTGATCAATCAGTTATATAGCAGCTATAGGATATAGTCGGCCGATCCTTATGAAATTTGAAATTTGATATGTCGGATTGATTGGCCAAATATAAAACCCATAGAAAATCCCAACTTCCTAACTTAACAAACAGCAAAGTTATGGCAGCTATAGGATATAGTCGGCCGATCCCGGCCGTTCCGACTTATATACTGCGTGCAAAGGAAAGAAGGGTGTGTGCAAAGTTTCAATTCGATATCTTTAAAACTGAGAGACTAGTTTGCGTAGAAAGAGACAGACGGACAGACGGACATGCTTATATCAACTCAGGAGGTGATCCTGATCAAGAATATATATACTTTATAGGGTCGGAGATGTCTCCTTCACTGCGTTGTACACTTTTGACCAAAATTATAACACCCTCTGCAAGGGTATAAAAATTAGATTAGCTCCATCTAGTAGAAGTGTATTAGTGTATTCTAACTAATTTCAAGAAGTCACTCTCAATATTCTTTATGGAGTTAGATAAAAAATTGTGAAACCCTACTTGATTCACCTAAATTTAACGGTTTTTGGCTGGGTTTTGTCACTCGATTTGACTGTAATTTGAGTACCCACTTTCAGCAAGTCACGCCCGACAGTCGCATGGCCGTGAGGTTTTTGGAGGACCCCAAACTGGCCTATCTGATGACGCGGTACCGCGAGTGCCACGACCTGGTCCACACGGTGCTGGACATGCCTACCAACATGCTCGGCGAGGTGGCTGTCAAGTGGGTGGAGGCTCTGAACACGGGTCTGCCCATGTGCTATGGCGGCGCGGTGTTCGGGGCGGTGCGCCTACGTCCCAAGTGAGTTCAGTGACCTGGGAAACCCAATTATGCCTCTATTTACGCCTTTGTTTACTTTTCGGTGGCTCAGGCAGAGGCGTGCGTACTTGAAGCAGTACTTGCCCTGGGCCCTGGAGAACGGAAAGCGGTCCAAGCCCTTGATGGCCGTTTACTGGGAGAAGCGCTGGGAGCAGAACATCCACGAGTTGCGCTCCGAACTGGGCATTACTCTGTTAAATAAAGTTTGATGAGGCGTTTTATTTTAAACTATGTTTTGAATTATCAAGATATCGATTACAGCTTTCGGTTAAAATTATCGCGATCATATAAAATAGTCTGGCAACCCTAGATCTTAAGCTGGAAAGTGGAAGCGATTTAACTTGTGGCATCTTTAATTAAAATTTTTTCGAAAAGTAAGCTAATTAAAATTATTTTCGTTGAAACAAATAACACCAAACAACAACATCGCAGAAAAAATGATGTTTTATGTTTGCATATCTAAAATGTTTTCGAATCGCTGTACAAAACATAACCTTTGTTGGACTGCAACTAAAAAGGGTAAATTTATTTTCTGGGCTCATTCGTATAAGTATTCATGTAAGGGAAGTAAGGGAAAATAAAAATAAATATATATAAGTTGTTGAAAATGCATATTTGATTAATTTAAATTGCTCAAACTTTGAGTGGGGAAATTATTAATCATATCCGACCCATTATATATGAAATTGAAAGCAAGTGTCATGCCTTTCGAATGTTCATGTGGGCTTGGTGAGAGTAAGTTATATTTTGAAATGATCGCATCGTAATATTCAACGATCTGGCAGCATCGCCCGCTCTGTTTGCTTTTGCTGATGTGTTTTTGTTTCTGGGCTGATTGTCGTTTAATGGCTTATTATCTGCTAATCCCACACCATGACTGAGAAATTCAATGGTTTCAGCCACGACGAGATCCTCAAGATTACGGGCGTAAAGGAGGGTGGCGTAGGCAAAAGGGCTGCGAATCTGGAAGCAGGTTAGATCATTATGAATGAACCGCGAAGCGTGTAAACAATTATCTGTTTATAATAAAAATCCATTGCATGTGTGTGCGTGTACAGCAAAGCAGGCGCTCCGGAATCAACCCGGCATTCGACGGATGCCCGATAAGATCTTCCGGCAGGCGGATCAACTACGGAAACAGCAGCAGCAACAGCAGCAACCAACTAAAAAACCTGATGAGGTGAAGAAGACCAAATCGGGAACGGTGACTCCCACGGAGAAGCCAGAAATTCCCACGGCAGAAGATGACGTAGTTCATGAATCGCTGAACCTAGACCGCGCACTTTCCGATTCATTAATGGAGGCTCTGTACCATGGCCATGCTACACCAAGAGATAACAAACCCACACCCACTGCCACGTATGCGGATGCTGCCGTCGAGATCAGTGAGGCGACGTCTGCGGACGACAGTTCGATACTGAAGATCAGCGGCGGTGATAGCCAAAACACTGGCTCCACTTACGATGCCAGCATCCTGCCGAGCAGCAAGGACTCCACCTCGCAGGAGCGCCTCAACACGGACTCACCTTTTAAGGGCATATCGCTGAAGGACTTCGAGCAGCACCGTCGCATGATCGAGGAGCAGAACAAGCAAAAGAAGCAATTGCTCTACCAGGCCATCGAGCAGCACACTCAGAAGACGGCAGCGGAGTCCCGCAAGATCGAGGAGATTCGCCACGAGCTGTCCAAGCTGGAGAGCGATCTTGCCGTGGACGTGGCCATGCTGAGGAAGCAGATTGACAATGCCTGCATACATTTTTCTAATGTAGAGTGAGTGGAAAAATAAATTTAAATTGATTCTTAATAATTACTGAATAATTCCCTTTTCCAGAAAACAATATGTAAAGATCGAGGCTCAGTTCCTGCGGGCCAAGATAGAGCTGCACAATGCCTCCGAGAAGAAGGAGTTGCTCACCGAGCATCTTTGCACCGTAATTGCCCACAACGAGGATCGCAAGGCCGAGAAGCTCACGGAATTGATGCAGAAAGTGGGCCTGGCGCCAAACGACGAACCCCTGCCATCCCCTGCAACCCGATTGTCAATTGAGCCTAATTAGTTTTGGTTTCATTCGAATATTCAGCCCTGTTCCCCTTTTGACCAAGGATTCATTTGTGTTGCTCGCTAAAAATGATATTTCTTCGAATAATTGATATTATCTGAATTCTTATTCTGCTCTATTGTACTTTAATTCTTAAATCAAGCAGGGCTGATATATTTTGAGTGCTCTCTTATATTAGTGTGTAATTACTGTTCTTAGTGTGAGTAAAAAGTGCAAATTGCAATAAAATATGTGTATGTTATGTGTAAAATTTAAATTGAATTTTATATTGGGGGCATCCTTTTAAGAATGCCTCAAAAATGGATAAAAATTAAAATTAGTAAAATATACTAATAACTAAAAAGGGTATTAAATTGTCGATCGTGGAATAACATTCTTTTGTTATTGTTTGTATTCGACTAAGTGGCAACGCCGGTATCTAACACAACAGCTGATCGTGCTTTGAGTTAAATAAACGTGCGCGAATAATAAACAACTATATTAACAACCATATTCTTATTTTAAAATAAAATAAATAAGGAAAAATCCGATTATGGCAGGGCGTGGTAGGGGTGGCAAGACAGGCACCCTCACAGCCGAGCAAATGGCCATGCTCGGCTGCACAAAGGACTTACCGGTGCAGACAGCGCCGCCTCCAACGTTTCCACCTGTTTTGAACCGGCCCACTACTATTGAGGTGCGTTTAAACCCATTTAAGTTAAACAAGAAATAATGACTTACTTTTTCTTTATATTCACTCGACAGACAACCGCCACACAGAACTACCAGCTGCTGTGGAAGGAGGACTTTCTTAATCGCATGCGAGATTCCCCGTATTACATTGTCTCCGCCAGCCAGGAGTCACAAAATCTAGAGCACAAGGACTGGCGGGAGGTGAAAAGCTTACCCATTTATTAGTTTCAATACCTAATACAGATTGTACACCCCCAGAAAGCCATGAAGCGGATGAAGCTCAAGACTCAGCCCGAATTCAACTACAAAGCCATGCCTCAGGAATTGAATATCTCCAGTCGAAAACGACGCGGCGCAGATATACGGCCCAAGCTGCTGACCAAGAAGACCAACATAGAGGACCGACTGAAGGTGCTGGAGCAAAAGGAACTGAAGTCTGGCGGTGGTGAGCAGGACGAGGTCAAGCAGGAATCCGACTCCGAACAGGAGGAGGAGCAGGATGATCCGGAGGCGGCGATGGATGACGAGATGGACGAGGATAACGACTACGGTGCCACCTACTTTGATAACGGAGAAGCCTTCAACGATGAGGACGACAATTTGGACGATGGTCCCGTTTATTGAGCTAAATAAAACCATCAAACTGAATACTTTCGGATCTGTGATTTACTATGTCGCCACTTTAAGCTTATTTAACACAAAAGTTGGATTAATATACACGTAGGGGGTGACTGGCTTAGTCCAGGCTCTTGGGTACGTAGTAGTTGAAGTGGATCAGACCAGAGGATTTGACCTGAAATGGGAATTTTCGTTAGAATTGAAGTTCTGCTTTGGAAATGTGTGGTAGGAACTCACGAATCCAATGGTGCCGGCCAGGACGAGGATGCCAGTGATGAGCGCGGCGTTGTACTTGGCGTTCTTCTGGCTGTTCTGCTCCTTCCAATCTCCAGCGGGCACGGGCAGATCATTCATGGTGGAGTGGGGACCATGGCCACCGTGGTAAGCCGCACGCGACAAGGCGCCAGCTAAAATTAAAGGCAAGCAAACCATTCAATAAAGGGTTCGATTATGTGAGCATTTAGGAGAGTGGGAATCGCGATACATAATATGTCACTCGCTCTGAGGATGTTATGATCTCATTTCGGTTTCATATGGAAATTTAGCTGGTAAATAATATATTTATTTGTAGAGATCTTACGAAGTAGAACCGAAATACTTAAAGTTGTAATGAGAATTGATGTTAATCCATTTCTTTGGAGTTCGCTTCCCCACATTATGTAATTTTTAAGGTTACCAGTTCCACCGAAAAAGGGTGTTTAGCTGCTTTGACTCACCGTTCTTGAGCAGAAGACCCTGCTTGACGATGTGTTTTACCAACATGATTGCTCGAAAGTTGCTAGAAAAAGGTAAAATATGGTTTATTTGCACGGCAAAATTTTTTTCGCATAAAAACTCACCCGTAGATTACCTTGTGTCGAACAGTGTGACCGTTTTAGAATAATAATAAAATATTCACCTTAGATCTAGGTATGAGCTAACGAGCCGTTCCCTCAATATCACTCTCGATGCGAACAATATTCAGTTTTGACGAATCATTATTAAAATAAATATTATCATTATTAAAATAAAAATTAATGGTCTTCTGTACTTAAATGTATTTAATAAAAATTATAAACCAAATAATTATTGAGAAACGTATTATTTTATTCTACATACACGTTACGCGCAAATCACTATCCGATATTCTGTTATCTGCCAGGAGCTCTGTTAAATCAGCTGTTGATGCGGAGGCGTTCACCGATTGCTTATTGCAAGTGCAAACAATTGGCAAGTAGTTGATTGTTTGCAGGACTTTTTCCGCGCTCAGTGTCCAACAAAACATTCCCAACCATGCTGTCCATTGGGGCCATGGCCAACATCAAGCACACGCTGCAGAAGGAGCTGTTCCTGGCCGCCGGCGAACGCCTCCTTTCCGTGGTGACGGTGGTCAAGAAAAAGGACAAGAAGCCCTGCTACCTCTGCGTGGTCACCACGGCGCCACCGGTGCCCGTGGTCACTTTGTGCCTCATCAAGCAGTCTGAGCAGCGCGAGAGCGAGTACAAGCGCAAGCGGAGCTGGCAGCTGGACGAGATCAAGTGGGTGGACGGGCGGAACGAGCAGTTTGAGACACATGAATTCGATATACAATTGGAGAAGTTGTACAAGTGGTACGCACTCAATCTCCACGAGCGCCAGAACTTCCTGGCCGTGCTAAACCGACAGATCCAAAAGAGTGTGCGTGGCCAGCGGGCGGAGTTCCGAAACGTGCCCGTTGCCTGGCTGTCGGAGAAGTCGCCGGAGAAGGTGGTTTTGGGTAGAGCTGTCCAGAAGACGCAGCATACGGACGACGAGGAAGATGAGGAGGAGGAAGCCCAGGAGTTCACTGCTCTGACGGACAAGGAGGCCAACGAGCTGGGTAAACTGTTCTCCGAGAGCGACTTCGCCATCAAAGATGCCGAGCAGTTCATAGAGCAGCTGTCCCGGGAACTGCACGACCTAGATGGGGTGAGTAAATTTGTTTTCAGTAACCAGAAACCATTACTCATAATTTGTTATCGCGCAGGCCAATATGCAAAGTGTTCTAGCGTCGGAGCAGAAGGTGCTGAAAATGATGGAGCACATCGACAATGCCATCTCCGAGGCGGACAAGTTAGAGAACCGTCTGGACAGCTACGAGGATATCCTGGGGCATGTTAAGGAGACCATGGAGAAGATTGGCGGCAAGAATGCTATGATCGAGATCGCCAACAATAACAATATCAAGCTGATGAAGGAACTCAACAAAGTTATAGTGGGTATTGGTAGTATATCTTTTTTTACTAGCTAATATTATATTATATTATAGAGCCAACTGGACTTGCCGCACAGCCAGCAGCAGGCTCTAGATGAACCCGATCTAAAGACCGCCAATGGACGCAAGACGGCCATTGCAGCTGCCCAATGTCTGCAGCAGGCCATGAACAGCGATATAGATCCTGCCCTGCTTCGTTTGGAGGCGGTGCAGGATCAGCGCAAGCGATTTGAAAAGTGGAAACAAAAGTTCTCGGCCACCGTCAGTCGATTTATGAACAACCTGTTCATCCATTTGGGCAACGAAATAGGTGACGTGCCAGTGACCAGCACCGAACTGACGCTGCCTAATCATTCCAACGTCCACCGGGAACTTACGCCCTATACGGAGCTGATGCACTGGACAAAAGCTATGGATCGTAAAACCTACGATGGCCTGATGCGGGTCTACACGGCCTCGCTAAGTAAGATCTATGACAGGGATGTGAAAAACTTCTTCAATTTGGTAAAAACTTAATATCCAAAAGTAAAACATAAATTAATAAACATTTTCTTATTTCCTGAATAGGCAAAAATACAGGTTGCAGAGAAACTGCGAAACTCTCGCGAGGATCTCGATATGTCCACGTCCTCTCGGAAGTCGGCGGTGACCACAATACCTTATGGCACTTTGGGAATCAATAGGGATCAGTGGGGACCCGGAGTGGAAAGTGCGGATCGGATTCGTTTCGATGCCTTGCTGGAAAAGGTTCTAGCTGAGCTGGAACCCATAGCCCTGCAGGAACAGCTGTTCTGCATCAATTTCTTTCAAATGGATGTGATTAGTCCAACGACAAAAAACACGCAGACCACTTTGGAAATGGAGAAGGCGGTGGATATGTCACAGTCCATCATAGCAGGAGCCGTCTCGCCATCAGGTGATGTGGTTCCGCAGAAGCGAATTGATCGCCAAATTAACGAGGATGTGAGGAAGCTGATGATGGGTCTTTTTGGTTGCCTGGAACCAGAGCTGGTCAGCTTTATCCAGAGCTTTGAGCGAGTGGACAGTTTGTAAGTAATAAAAACTTTTTAGTGAAAGGATTTAAATATAAATTCTCTCTTTTTACAGCTACTCTCTGTACGTTTTGGTGCGACTCACACAACACGTCATGTCCGCGCAGGACACACATTCCTTTCTCAGCATGACCTTTGCCTCCGCCTTGGTGCAGGTGAAGCGCAACTTTGACCGCTTCATGCAGCAGCAACTGCAGTCAATTAGAGAGGCCAAGCTGCATAAGCGCTCCAAGGCCATCCTGCCGTACGTTGAGAACTTCGAAAACTTTGCCCAAACGGCGGAGGGTATCTTCCGCAAGTCGGATCGCCGTACTGACATGGAGAAGTGGTACCTGCAGCTGGTGAATGCCATCTTTGAGGGCATCCACCTGCACTCGCAGGAGCATCCCAAGACGCCTTCGCAAGTGGTGCGCATGGAGAATTATCACCACATGTACGCTTTGCTGGCACAGCTTAAGGTTCCAGGTCTGGATGCCCTCAAAAAGGAGGCCAAGACGCGTTACAACGAAGCGCTAAAAGCATATGTGACTCAGTACTTTGGCAGGCCCCTGGAGAAGTTAAATGTAAGTCAATGACCTCGCAAAACAAGATAAGAAGATGTTTTATATCTGTTTGATAATACTCCTTCTCATTAATTTCCCGTCTACCTTTGCAGCAATTCTTTGAGGGCGTACAACTGAAGGTGGCGCAGGGCGTCAAGGAGACGGAGATCAGCTACCAGATGGCCTTCTCCAAGCAGGAGCTGCGCAAGGTGATTGCGCAGTATCCCGCACGCGAGGTAAAGAAGGGTCTGGAGAATCTCTACAAGAAGGTGGAGAAGCACCTGAGCGAGGAGGAGAACCTGCTGCAGGTGGTGTGGCACGCCATGCAGGAGGAGTTTATTGCCCAGTACAACTACCTGGAGGAGCGCATTCAAAAGTGCTACGCCGGCGCCATGATCAACCTGGAGTTCAACATCCAGGACATACTCGCCTTCTTCTCGGACATAGCTCGCTCGCACTGATCGAGGGTTTGGTTTTTGGAAATCGGGGAGCGTATGCACCGGGTTTTATTTTTAAGTGCAATAGTATTTAAAGCGCTGTTTCTGCTGATTGGAAAATATATGGCGCGCATATTTAAACAGATGTGGATCTGCAAAAGTTTAAAACGATAAATTAAAGAGAGGGTTGAAAGAGAAATATCGCAGATACTAAGTAAAGTTTTTAGACCGTCAGCATCTGAAGTTGTTAATTGTATACAAAATTGTAAAATTCCCTGATTCCATTTTCTTAAAATGTGGTTGCGAGAAATGTTATTTATAAAGTAGTATGTTTTAGATACTTAACTTAAGAAAACTATGAGTTTTTTATACAAATATTTATACAGGCTTAACGGTAGAACTCTGAAAAAAAAGAAGTTTTAGTATTCTGTGTAAAGAGGTTTGGCCTTTCCTGTTACATACAAATGTGAGCCCTTATTTAAATTGTTAAACTCGATGTTTTTTCCGTGACTATAAAATTAAAAGCGTTACTTCAGCTGATCGTAAAATATATAGCGCGCATATTTAAACAGCGGCGAAAGGTCGAAGAGAGCTGTTTAAGATCCAAAGAGATAGTAGAGACCTAAAGAGATACTACAGAGAGCTGCGTAGCTTAAAGAGTGAGCTTTTCGGGGTGACTTTTCAGTCGCCAACAGTTGGAGTTCTGGGTCCAGCTCCCAGTCAAGTCTCGCGCCTCTTCCCGATCGGTTGTCGCTAGTCCGCGTCATTCCCCCATCTGCATTTTATAAGCATTTTATTCCGTGCATTTTAAATTGTTCTATCCGTACGTGTTTCCGTGTGTGCTCATGTGCCGTGTTGATAACTCCGTGAAATGCAAATGGTAATTGCAAAAGCCGAAGCGCATGCGACTGAATGTGGTGCATATTTTATAAGCTCCGCCAGGGAGAACAAAAAAAAATTAGACGCCCGCCGAACCGAACTGATCCTCCCTCCTGCTCCTGTCTGGGCTGTCCCATTAATATGGCCACTATAGCGACCCGTCCGACCAGTTTCGTGGTGCGGTTGTCGCTCCTGACTCGATTCTCCTTACCTTCCCGTAACCCCCCTAGCCCCCATCTCCCCCAGCCTTTTTCCTTGCCCTCCGTCTTTGCATTTCTCATGCACACACGTTCCTCGTTTTTTTGTGTTTTTCGTGTGCTCCCGTGCTGATGTTCTTCCACTTTTTCGGCTGCCTGTATTACAGTCAATACCGGTTAACTGTTATTCCGCAAGAACTTTGAAAATGTACTTATATTTTTTTGAGATGTTTGTTGATGAAGGAACACCCTTTAGATATTGCTAAAACCTAATGATCAGTTTGTCAAAAAAAACAAAAAATAATAAGGGAATTATAAATAAAGTTAATGTATAAGAAACTTTATAAGATGAATTTGTAAAATTTCTTATTCGGGATTCCTTTTAGGTGCATTATTTAAGTTATCCCCAAACCGATTTCCACTGTTTCTTCTTTCCTTACCATTCTTCTTTAACAACTGCCTTTTGTTTTTCGCCTTAACTGGCGGTCATCACACAGTTGCTGTTGCCGTATATTTTAACGAAGTTTCGCTCAAAACCTGGCCCACCTTGATAAGCCCCTGGAAAGTCAGTCAGTCGCGATCGCTTCGTCGATCGCCTTAGCAAGTTCAATGCTACGATACGTAAAATTGGCAGTGCATTTTCGACTTCCGCTATAATTAGCTAGTTCAGTCCGTAGTAAACTCTTTGGCCCTTTGCTTACAGAACCCACTGTACTTGTTCTCAAAGAAACGGATAATGTGCGATAAAACAACTATGTTGGAGTGATTAAGTGCTAGAGTTATCTATGTCATCAGCAAATAATGTAATCACCGAGTTGATCTTGAGTCATTAAAAGACCAGGGTTGAAGATCCCTCTGTGGACTAACTGCTTGAACTTGTTAATTAGTATGAATATTTAACAGGTTTTATGTTTTGTTGACTAAAAAAGTTGTATGCTTAACTGTTCTTTGGTATTTTTTGTTAGTACAGAAAAAAAATTTGTTTTTGGAAAGCCAGTATCTTGTTACTCCAATGCCAGCATTGAAGTTAAGTGTATGTATATATTTGCAAATATGCATATTATTCAGTGACAGTGTGTGCAAACTAAATTCACTCACTGTTTATGTATGAATGATATAGTCTCAGATGTCACCACTGTACCTTGCTTCAATTGCGGCGATATCAAAGTTCTCATTTTTGCTATATGTATGTACATTATTTAATTTCACTGATTGCCACCATTGAAATGTTTATTTGCTCAATTTTAATTGCTGTTCCATTTTATTATTTGCATGCTGAGAATATATATTTTAGCACTTGATAACCGTAAAGAATTAATGGTCCACACCTCATTTACTCTTTCTTCACACTTGGTTAAAACTTAATTAAAAAATGTGAATGTTTTTATTGAAGGTTGTTTTAGTATACTTTACTTTAGGTTCTAATAAAAAAATCCATTTGCTAGAGGCATATCAATATATACCAACCTTTGAAAATATTTAAACAGCTTAAAGTCAAAAATTGTACAAAATATTGAAAATATTTGAGATAGGTGTTGAAAGAATGTTTGATAATGCTAAAATTTTTTGGATGGTGTTTCTGAATTCCAAATGTTTTTCTTTTATCTGTGCGCCTTTATATGGGTACTTTTAAGCACTTGATATCTCTGATGTAGTGCCTTGAATTAAGAGTAAACACCTAGAGTCACTCTTGTTTTCGTTCTAAATAAAGTGTTTACTTATTTGCGTGGCACATTTAGAATTATTACAAAGGAAATGGCATATGGCCACGTTATATCCGCTGTAGAATGCATTGCTAGGTAAACATTTGCACTCGGCCATTATCTTTTGTTAATATTATACTTAAGTGCAGTGTCGGAAAAAGAGGAAGGTGCATCCAAACACTGCTCACCCACTCTCCCCATTCTTTTCGCCAATTTCCCCAAAGGGGGAAACCATCAAGTTTGTGCTTCGTGACTGAGTCATCAGGTTTTTTTCCCTATCTCTCCGGTTTTAGCCTGAACCAGAACCCAAGTTTACTTGAGGTTAGCAGCCAGAGGCAGTTTTTCCCTACCCATTTCTGGCTTCTTACCTTTCGTTCTTTTGTTTTTTCTTCTTTTTTGCTTCATTATTTTTTCTTTGGCAATGCACTCTGGTTCGCTGTGGGCCGCACATTTCTTGCCTCGCATTTTCATTTTTGCCTACCCAAATGACCGTTATTTTCGCGAGCGGAGTCTAGACCTATACTAATTAAATCAAAATTCTCCAGCTCTGCTGTCATCAGCAGAACTGACCTCCGGTGCAATTGGCTCCTAATCTCCGTCATACGTGCTCAAATTTTTTCTTAACATTTTCGGGCTGTTTGGCAATCGAAAAAGCTTAAACAATAAGCGCCGTAAGTGTGCTATGTGCATATGAAACACCTATATACAGGTGCTCGTATAGTTATGTACTTGTTTTATAATGCATGTGGAAAAAAGAGTGTGCGGTGCACATTGTTCGGAACAATGGAACGTTATACGATAAAAACTGTATAAATAAGCCGAAACGGGGGTTGCATGTCACCGGCTCAGCCTTAGATCGCTCATCGCAGCCCTGAGAAAATGAAGTCACTCTCAAATAAATAAAAATAAAGGCGAGAAGAGTTACGCCAAGTGCTAACTGAATATTGTAGTATGCAAGCCAGTCAGACACATAATACCAGCCTCTCACCCCGAGTCGGTGAATCTTTATTTATTGTTGTCGTGTTCTCAAAATCCATGAGCCATGTGAACTATGTGAACCCAAAACAGACGCTGTAACTTAATCAAAAGCGGCAAAATGAATGTAAAAGTGGGGGGTTGAAGGTATTTTTTAACCTTTGCATTCTCGGAAAAAGTTTAAAAGTAAAATTTCTGGGCTTTATAGGATGAAAGTAACTAAATATGCTTTAAATATGATATACATATATTTAACCTTTAATTATTTAGTATATGAGTTGCCCTTGGTTTTGAAAAATATTATTATTTTTAAGAATCTAGCGGATAAAAACTAATAAAGGATTGAAGTTTATATGGCGAACTGTTATATACAATCTTTGTATTATTATGCCATAGCATACAATCTCATAGTTATTAAAAATCTACTCTTTCAAAGTTGTGTTGCAAAACAATAGGTTAATAAACCTTTAAAAAATTCATCAAAATGTTATATAATAAAATGTAAAATATAATTTTTCTGTCCGCTCAAAATTACTGTTTAGCTTATCCAGCGGTTAGTTAAAGTTTGCTCCTTCCAAGTGGAACAGCGAATTCTCAAACAAAAACCATTCTTTATTATATGCAAGTTTCCTCGAAGAAAAGTCAAGAGACAAATGCGATATCTCCTCAAGTTGGCTCTTAGAAACGATGAAAGAAATAGGCGCTTGAGCACGTCATATTCGATTGGGGGTAGAGTTGCAGATCTAGCAGCTCGATTGCTCCACGCAGCAGAGGTGGAAAGTAACGCAAGACACTCGGGCACACAAACTATACACTCACACTCGTGGAGAGGCCCTCTTTGGACCTAGAGCACATAACTCCATAACTCTGGGCACTGGCGGACCATTTATGGTGTCAGTAAGGTACACTGCAGCCGGTAATGGCCATGATAATGATGCCTCTTGGCCGACTCGCCACCAGAACGCCACAAAGTGGTGCAATTTGCTCGGCGGTTCTTGAATTCACAGTCTTACAGTCTGCCGCTAGAAAGTGGCCAAAAGGCGGCTGGGAATAGCAAAACAAAAAGCGTAATCAAAAGCAAAGTAAAGCATGCTGCGGAAAATGGCTCTGCACTCATTTTGGTATCTGACAGGTTACTTGCCAAGGCGACTCGGCTATCGTCCCCTTTTTTTCGAGTGTCTATTCGTCTGGTTTGGTTTGTTTTCACCATGCAAACGTGATCGTGGAAGTGGACGAACTCGTGTCTTACATTATATATAGACCAGTTTCCTCATTTTGATGTGATGTGCCCGGTTCTAATGCGGTCTCAAACATTATCCTCTCCCCTCTTCCCACACTTCAAGCTCAACTGCCTTGAGGTCTTTAAGACAAGAGGTTTTACCTGGGAAGCTCAGGTGTGACGAAAATGTCTACATAAATCAGCTCTACATAGGCTATGAAATAAGCAAATTAAAAGAATAATCTTGGTATTTTTGAGATTGAAAATTTAATGTCTCTGTTTCCGTTTTAATCTAATTAATGTTTATTGAGAAACTTTTGAATGTATTTCTTTCAAACATAAAGAGTTTAATAAGAATAAAACTACTTATGACCAACATCGCTAGGGATAAGTCAAAGGGTTAATTGCTTATAAAAATGTTATGTCTGTAAAAAGACAAGTTATAAGTCAGCACCGAAATTTTCTATTTATATATAATTTTTCTAATGAAAGATCTCATTAGTAAGAACACAAATCTGCGGATTATATAAAGAAAATATGCTTCCAAGAAAACAAAATGAGTTGAGAACAATAAATCAGAATTTAGATTAAATAACGTCAATATTGCTAAGCTCTTTTTTGTTGAAGCTGTGAAGATGGTTTTTTTTAACTCATTAATTTTTGAATAGAACAAAAAACCAAAACAAGACAAAACACTCGGACGTTTCTGGTATCGCATCAAAATGTGTTTAAGCCCAGTACTTTGTACCCCTTGCTCATGATCAGCTTCAGTAATGCGCAAATGTTCTTGGGCCATGAAATATTTGCTGGATGCATGCTAAATTAATATTAAAAATAATTGTTGACTTGTCTGATTTATAATTAGAAATGAGCCGGAAACCGGTAACTCTGCCTTCTCCACCTCCTC